GGGGGGGGGGGGGTGGAGAGGGTGGCATTCTTCCAAGACTGAGCCCTTACCCTGTGGGATCTGACACTATCTTCAGGCAGACAGTATCAATTAAATTATAGGACACCCACCTGTTGTGACAGAATTGCTTGGTATAGGAGAAAGCCTCCACACATCTGGTGATCAGAAGTGAAATGTATGTGAGTAGTAAAGGCCACTCACAGGAAGAAAAGACAGCAGAGAACTGGATTTTAACAGGCTAGTGTCTTCCCAGGCAGAAACCAGGCAATTTTGCTCATCCTTGACATTTGTCTCACTAATGATACCCACTGTTTGCTCCTATCCTTGGTTCTGTACACATCAGAAAGAGAAACCATCAGGGTGACTCCTGTAGACTAACCTGCTCCATCAGTTCCCTTACCTCAGTGGCTACCTGCAGTGGGAGCCACAAACTGGCACCTCCCCAGTTGGCCTAGGTGGATGGGGACCCCAGCCCAGAGCACTTTCTCTTCACAGTTCTTCCTGCCACATGATCATCTTAACCCCACCTGGCAGGAGATATCAAATGATTATTTCCTCAAATTCATCTTCCATCTCATCGATGGAAGAATGGTGAGAGGCTGGAGGGCTAAGATACACAGGCACTGGGAGTTTTATGAAGTGAGTATTTCAGAGTTGGAATTACGGGGCCTCAGGAATACGTAATTACATGAGTATTGAGTCCAAGTTGTCACAGGACAATCTCAGCAGGGCTTCTACCCCAGTCCTCTTGCTCTGACTTCCCAAGTCACCCCAGGTCCTGCCTCATTTGCCCTTCTCTTCCCTGGCATCTTTAACTCCAGCAGTGGCCCATGTTAGGACAGTACTGATCGTTTGCATTTACCCCCCCCCCAGCTTCCTTTCCCTCCTGCTCACCGCTACTGCATACCCATAAGGTAATGGCGACAGACTGTCAAGAACTGCGACACAGAGAAGGAGAGGAATCATGTGGGCCCAAGTTTAGTAACAGTGGTAGTGTTTATAGATTGAGAGAGCATCCCTGTTTACAGAGTAAGCTTGACACACCCACCCTAAGAGGCACATAATCATTTAGTAAAGACAATGTGATTGACCTTCAATCAGGCATTTAAAGCCATTTTCACATATGCTCGCCAGTGTAAAATATACTATTTTATGTAACTGACCTGATCCTTTCAGCTGAGAAATCCCCTCTAGTATTGTAGCATCATCCTAAGAAGACAGGTGAGGTGGGAAGGAATTACTTCTCAAAAGTGAAAATGAAATACCTTTTGCAGAAAGACATCTCCATTTGGAGATGGATTAGGTACACAGTGTTTTGACATTGCTCTTTTTCTTACTGAAAAGAAAATGAGAAAAAAAGAAAAATATAAAACTGAAATTTTTGTTGAGAGGATCTCAAGTATATGAAGTAAAAAATGAAGTATATTAAAAATGATTTTCCCTTATCAGCAAGTAAACATGGTTAAGTTGGGAGAATTTTAAAAGATCCAAGTAGTCTAAAGAAAATGTCAATTTATGAAAGTGAGATTATAGAGAAAATTTAAGATTAATTTTATTAACAAGTTATTGAATTTTGTCTTGGTCTGTATCTAATTTTTAGAAATGAATAAAGAAAACTGTCTAGTTTTAAATTTTTTAAATAAAAAATTATGTCTAATTTTTAAAAATTAGGTTTTACAAATGAATAAACCCCTGGGAGACTAAATACTAAAATAATAATTATCTGCTGTTGGGGATGCTGGTAAATTTTTTTTGCATTATTTATATTTTAACATTTTTTAACATGAAAGCTGTATTACTTGGCTTAAAATGCTTAGATTTTTATAATAAATTTTTTTGTTTAATTTTGATCACATTTCCTATTTTAATGAATATTTTAATATTGAAAATATGTGGGGAAATTATATCTATAAATTACAAATTTTGAAGAAAAATATACAAGTTGGTATAATGGAAAAACACTAGCTTTGGATGTTTTAGACCCAAGTTTAAGTTTTGCTCTTTGGCTAACTAAAAGATCTGAACAATTTAAAAGCCGAACAAATTCTCAGTTTTCTTACCATAAAATAAGAGAGTGAGTGCATCAGATAATCTTCAGTGTCTTCCTGCTCTCCTGTTTTGTGAATTGGACACCAGACTTTATGGCTGTGGCAAACTACTGCCACCTGGTGGCAGTTATCTAAAGTGAGGGCTGCATTTAAGGTATAAAACACCATCGTTCATTTATGCTTATATTTGCCTAGCTACATGGGCTGGGCAAGTGCCAGCATCATAATTCATTCAATTTAGTGTTTTTCTATTTTATTTTTTAGTTACAGTTGTGGACATTAAATATTATTTTATATTAGTTTCAGGTGTACAAAGTGATCCCCCGTAAGTCTAGCACCCACCTAGCACCATGCATAGTTATTACAATATTATTGACTACCCTTCAATGTAGAGTTTTTCTGGATGATGCAGGTGAAACAACTAAGACATGAGCTGTCACATGCTTGCTGTGGTGCCTTGAGGACATCATTTAACCACTTTTGAGTCTCTGACTTTCCATCTGAAAAATACAGATAATTCTATCCACCTAACGTT